TTCTTGCCTTCGTAATTAAATAGTACTCATTGTTACGATTATGTGAGCACGAATTAGACTCAAATTGGACTTGTAACAAAAAAGTTACGCGCTGTTAAAGGACGTTAACAGCGGGTAGAAGTGTACACGCGTGTGTGCTAATTTATTAGTGTTGGAAACACTGTTTTTGATAAAGGGATAGATTTTCTAAGTACTTTTCGCTATGCAAATCTGAAAAACCCTATCCCTTTTCTATTTTAAAGACCATCCCGTGTGCCCTCAAATCCCTCACAACCAATCAAGTATTTTCCCTCATTTTACTCCCCACCAATCAAAAATCACCCTCACTTCTCTCCCCAATCAGATTTCATTCTCTCTCTCTCTCTCTCTCTCTCTCTCTCTCTCTCTTTCTCTCTCTCTTATCTTCTTTCTCTCCTCACTCGAACTCTTGAACGCACCACCATACTTCATAGACCGAGCTTAAAAACACCACCATCACACTCATCTTGAGCTCACGAACCCAACCATACCAATTGATCCTTAAACGGACGAGTTTTAACTCATTAACTCAGAAGCTTCGACTCGGACGACTTAGCTTTGACCTGATCCGGCCGAGTTACGATGTTTTGAAGGTTGTGGAAGCATCCACACAACTCCTTATGGTCCTTAGACTAAGTTTGGGGTCGAGTTGACGTTGAAACAAACGAGTTTGAGGAGTCGAAGTTTAGGCCGAACCTTGCAAGGCTTTTTCAGGTCATTTTCTGTCCGTTTTTAGACTTCCAAAAGGTATAGACTTGTTCTACTCCTCAAGAGCTTCATTTCCATATAAATTTCTTCAAAATGGTTGAGAAATGAGCAAGTTATGAAGGTTTGAAAAATTTTCAGAAACCAACGAAAATCCCTAGTTTTCGACGAACTAGACGATGGTGGCGAACGGCGAAGCTCACCGGAGAAGACAAAGAATATTCCGTCAAAGTTGATGGAATATTCTAACGATGTTAGGTAACGTCGTTACTATTTAACAAAATATTTTGTCAATTATGACAGAACATTCCTAACATCGTTAGTCTCTGTCAATCATGTGACTTACGCGTGGCCGCGCGTGTGGCTGTGGTTTGGGCAGCCTGTGAGGGCATGTCTGGCCACCCGCCGGCATGTGGTTGATATGTGCGAGTCCGTGACTTCGAGTAGATCATTTTTGTATATTCAAACCTTTCGTTTGAGCAAGCTATGAGGAGTTTTTTCTAGATTTTCATATGTATGTTAATTAAGTAATTATTATTAGTTATTTCGCATATAGGGGAGACTTATCTTGAGGACGTATCAAGACAAGCGAGGCTTAGGGGCTACGATCCATCGACATATCAGTGAGTGGGCACTTTGTTTTCGTATATATGTATATAAACTTTATAGTTTCCACAAATGTTTTTAAATTGGTTTATGCTTATATGCCATGATTTATTTAATTTTAAAAATGCTGTTATGTGGTTGAGATTTATATATTGTCATGAAATATTCATATGCATTTTACTTGCTCATAAATGTTGCACTGCTGTGAAATGCTAAGATAATCCTACGGGATGCACAAGTAAGTTCAGGTAAGTTTATTATGTTGATTGTAATTGTTGAATCATTGTGGCATGCATATATATTCATGTAGTCTGCTCATCATTGTTGCACCTCGGTGTTAGTGCTCGCCCCGGACCAGGGCCAATCCTTCATGTGATGTTCACCTCCCACACCGTATGCTCGCCTTGGATCCAAGTAGGTGCTAGTCCTATCGTACAAGTCGCATTAGGCAACTCCCACTCGTAAGTGACTGTGATTATCGCCAGTCTTCATGTGATCGTAGCACTAGAGTGTGTGTGTGTGTGTGTGTGTGTGTGTGTGTATGTGTGTGTGTGTGTGTGTGTGTGTGTGTGTGTGTGTACATTACACCTAGTCCTGTTGTATAGGTCGCATTAGGCGACTCCGACTTGTGTGCTAGCATAAATTGATGAGCAAACTAGGTCAGTCATACAAGTCGCATTAGGCGACTCCGACTGGTATGCTATCATAGATTGTTAAGCATTTGATTTCACTTATTCTACTATTGTGATATCGTAATTTGGCATGCTTTTGGATTTACTACTGAGTTGCATTTGATTTCATACCTATACGTAGTATGATTTTCTGGAAACTATACATGTTTTACAGCGAGGGGTTAGTATGTTCAGAAAATAACTGTGTTTTATAAACCTTTATTTTTATGCCCACTCACCCTTCTGTTTTTCGCCCCTCCAGGTCTTAGATAACCGACTCACTCTGTGGCACATGATTTTCACCCAACGATTCTGACATATCTCTATTTAATGTAGGAACTATTTCTAGTTGTGTACTAAGTACTTTCCTAGTTTCCACTGCACTATTTGTCATCTATGCTCTGAACATTTGTATTCTATGGCTTCTACCCACTATTGCGCACTCACTTTAGTAGTTTAAATAAGTTCTAGTTTCGGTTTTAATTTATCCATATTTTTACATCATTTACACTTTGGTTACGTCACTTTCGGGTGATAGCCATCACGTCTCGACTCCGGTCGGGGCGTGTCAGGGGTGGTGCCTGTAATTCCTCCATTTCACCCCAATTCCAAAACGTGTTTTAAAATAAAAACTTGTTTTTGGTGTTTGTAATCCAAAATTTGATCTTTTATTTATCCTCAAATGTCTAAAGATTAGAAAAGAAAATAAGATACATGACTACAAGAACTCCATGAATCATACAAGTTGAATCCCATGTCATTTGGACTCTCTTCCTATTTCTTCATTCTTCTCCACACCATCAGAAGGACTAGGTAGGAATAAACTGTTTTTATTTTCAAATTTGAAGAGATGAGAAGAGAGAGAAATCAAAATATTATCATAATAATTATCATTATTGGAGAGGTATATTTGTATAATTTCCTTTCTTATTTCAAAATAGTTAATAGACCAATGCAATTCCAACTGTTAAAATGGGTTTGATCTAAGGGTTTAAATGGAGTGTAAAAGTATTTGTCAAAATCTTTATCCCATGATCCTATCCCATTATATGTATGCATATTTTTATTATTCACTCTATCATGAGTATATAATATATATGTATATACCTGTTTTTTTTTTAATAATAAAAATAAAATATTTTCACGTCAAGTGATATCTTTTACTCGAAACCATTACCTATTGTGAGCGATTTATTAATTTTTTCAGGTCGCCAATAATATCTCCTTTTGTCTTGACTTTAACATGTTAAAATGCCCAATTTGTAAAAAGTGGGATATTTTGTGAGCAATTTGGATTCCAAAAAACTCAAGATAATTCAAAGTCAGGTGGTATGGGATGAGGTGAAAATAGTAGATAGATCCCAAATTCGACACTTTCAACATCTGTCACAAGACAGAGGTTTTATTTTGGGTTTGGTGTCTACCAATGACTTACATATCTAGAATTAACTGTGTTTGGTCCCTCCTATTAATGCACACGAAAACGACTTGATTTCATGAATTTCTAAGTATCATTTATAAAAGGGAACTTTAACGAAAAGCACCCGGTATTGTTCACTTTAACGAAAAATCACATTTTAACACTAAAAAGTCAATCCTGGTACTATTCACTTTACCCTTTATTTTGTCCTTATCATTAAAACTCAAAGTTTTCAAGTCCTTTTCATTAGTTTTCCTTTTATAAAACCCTTCTAATTTACATCTTTGCCAAATTGAAAAAACCATACCAAATGTTTACCAAAATAATTGGCGTGAGTCTGACCTGACAAGTCTGTGTACTGGGCGATCACAGATTTTTTGTTTTAGCGATATCTCAAACCAATCATAAGATTTCAAGTACAACAATAACATCATAAATTTATCAATATTTTAACAAATTCATGTGCATATTGCCAGAAATTCTTAATAAAATTTCTGTATGTTATTTGGTGCTAACTTACTAACAATATATGTTATATGGTGTTACTAATCCGACCTCGTAATAATCTTTGCAAAGAGCCATAAAAATGACAAAAATAAAAATAAAACTTGTGGCGTGGCTTGTGAAAACAAAGGAAAACAGCGCAGTCAACGGAACGGCGCAACACAAGCAAATGCATCTCTTTCGGAGCTGACGTCGACCCACACGTGAGTTTATTATTTAACTGATGCCGTGTGGGCCACCACCGAGTTCTCACGTGCGGCAGATTAGGTTAACCAGACAGAATGTGTCGGTTTTTTGTCTGTTTGTGTTCCTTCTGCTTTCCAGCTCCCTTACCGCTCCTTTCGTTTATCCCCACGTATTACCTATTGACTTTCTCTTTGACAATTTTTTGTTTTACAATCCCCATAATTATAAAATTAATTAAGTACTCACCTAATTAGTTGGTGTATTAAATAATAATTATGATAATTACTAGAAGTATGTAATCCCTCACTTTGTGGCGTCAAAGATTGGGACAACTAATTAAACAATTAATTTAGTTCAATGCTTTAATTAGTTAAGTTAAGATTGTTATGGAATCGACGTGGCAATGTTACAGTTAGTGAAACTTCTTCTTTGGTTATAATCCCTGAAAGTCTCTTGTCGTGTGAAACATTGATTCCAATTAACAAACCGTGAGAGGATTATGAGAAAGATTAGGTCAAAACTCACTTGAGAAATGGTGATTAGACCTTTAACCAACTCCTTTTCTTAGTCATGCACGAAACTAATTAAACCCATTTTTCTCTCTTTCAAAATATACTTTTTGAAAGAAAAGTTTGGGATCCTTTTCTCATTGGCGAAGGGAATTGTTATTAGCACTTCAAAAATTGTATTCTACGTTCCAAACTTTCTATATTAGGAAAAAATATGTGCATAAGAGGAGTGTAAAATGTGATTTTTAAAATGCCAATAACACTTCTTTTGGCGAAAATATGTAATGTACACATCTTTTGACAATATCAACTTAGCCGTTCAAACATCAGCGTAATCTCAATTTCGTTGTTCAAACATCGGTGTATATGGTACACAGTGTATTGTAGAAACTGTCTAATTGGTAATGACATTTGAGTACTAGGACAATAAGAGAATCCGATGTACATATACCAAATCGTACAAATAGGATTTGGATGCAAAAAGAAAGGAAGAAACCTCAATGAACAAAAGACAACCAACAAAACGAAGATACGTTAAGAAAGCGGGAGGACTTAGATTGGAGGCTCAAAAATTGAATCGGAGTAGCTTCTCCGACAACTTCACGAAGGGTAAAGGGTCAGCATGGGGAGCTGTACAATTGAATCGAGGCTTACTTCTTTCTTTACATTCCTACATTGTTGCTGCCTAAATCCATTAGAATCGTCAATCTCCTTGCCGTTTTCATGAAATCACTGCAACTTCAACAATAATTTGATCAATATATTACCTTACAAACGATTCATTTGATAATTAAAAGGGCAAAAACCTCCGTCATTTGGAGCCATTACACGGTTCAATGGGAATTGATCCGTACCTGAAAGGTTCATCTCCAACGTGTTTAACTGCACCAGTACCATCTCGATAGAGCACATGGTTCAGTGTCTCCGAATTGTCTATGCCAAACATATCTGCCAGTTTTCTGTACAACTCATCATAGGACCCAAGAAGTGAAAGGTCAAGAGTACGACCTACATCTTCTGATTCCATGAAGACTTTACAGTGACCAGTTTCCAGATGTGGTTCGGTTTCATGTCGATTATCCTTATACCATTGGAAACCCTCACAAGATGAGCGCTCTTGTATGCTTTGTTGAAGTGCAGATCCAGAATTGTCAGAATGATTTGCCATTTTATCTGCATTCCCATCTGACGAACTATTTCCAGTAAGAACTGGTGAGACTGTATCGCCAGAGCTGCTCAGAGAGATCTGCTGCTCGGTAAGTATTGGCTGACCAAAGAGTATGAGCTGCGGTGGCTTTACATCATCGGGTTTCTTTGACGTCTGGGTAGAATGTGACATAGTCAATAAGCAAGAAAGATTCTCGCTCATGGTAGGCTTTTGAATCATAGTGTTATTGGAGAATTTAGAGGGTGCAGCAGCATGATCAAGTGGCGGGAAACCAGCCGGAAATAGACCTGTGTGCAGTTTATTGAGGTGCATATCTGATAAGGATAGACCGTAATGAGCATGCCTGGCTCCCTGCATGCCAGCAGGAGTTTTGTCGGGCAGACAACCAAAGGGGCTGCTGGGTCCAAGGAGGTTGCCGGAAAACGTCGGCATTGGAAGTTGGCCTTCGAAGGGGAAATCTGGGTGTTGTGGTAGCCTCATCTTCTTTCTTGGGGGTGAGAAGGGTGTCAGATGGATCGCGGGCATGTTGGATACCAATTCTACCAACCATGGGCTAACGCGTTTCACATTTTGAAGTAAATCGGGTTCATCCCAGGTAACCTGAAACATAAGAGTTCAGAAAAGGGAATTAAAGCAGAGCAAAACACTCCTACTGTGTTGGTGTTAATAAAAACCCAACGGTACCAACCATACTACGGAAGTGGACTTCCCGAATGTTTTGTTGCCAAAAACCATGACTCTTCCCAGACGTAATTGGTCAGAAAAGAGCATACATCAAAATTAGCTAATTTGGTATGGAATAGGAAAATGAAAACTGAAGCTGGAACCCCATAGAAATCGCTACGGAAGTTTACAGGAGCCTAAAAACTAATAAGCTCATAGAAAAGCAGATAAAACCAGAGGAAAATAAGGGGAAGTGAACTGGAAGGAGTTAAAAGAAAGGCAAATGGATCAAATAACAAATGGTTTATGGTAGAGTATGCAGATTGATTTTCTTAATTCTGATTGGAAAATTGTCAATGAAAAATACCGTCCTCACTTGAAAAGTAAATTAAAAAACCAAAGTACGTTCAGTTTCATCACCTGGGCCGGACCGAAAGCGGAAGCCTAGCACTAAGTTCAATCTCCAGACCATAATTATAGAGTAGATGAGAGAAAGAGAGTAGTACCTGGAGAAGCCTCCACGGTGACTCGGGCCAGCGCAAAGGCTCAGCAACCTGAACAGAGGATATAGTTCCCATGAACCAACTTATCCGGGAAGAATCCTCAGTTTCAAAGGCCATCTTGAATCTCATTCCAGGACACCACCGGATCTGCAATGCTGCTTTCACCAACGAAGCCTTCACACAGAATTCTGGGGTACTTGCTCGAGGGTAGTAAACAACCTCAAAGGGCTGTCCGTTTGCAGCAAGTGTTGCAGCTTCAAAAACCGATTCAGGCCCGACTTTCCCCTTACCCATTAGACTTCCATTCGAATTAGAGCCATTACCATGGCCATTTTTCATTAGTTTGTTCTCATCCTCCCTCAAAAACGCCGAGAATCCACCATATGGCACAGTACAATTCCCACCCATTGGATTCCACCCTGAAGATGACTCTGATCCACCTCCAATTCCCCTCTTTGCGCGACGAATTCCAACACAGAGATCACCATTCTCTGCCCTCAAAAACACAATTGAGTCCCCAGAAACAAGCTTCTTGTGGTTCACAAAGGTACTCCACCCTGTGGTCAATAGATGCCGCCTAGGGGTCCCTCTGTAAATGTGCCTGAACTTCCATGTTTCCCCATGGACATCCTTAGCAAGGATTGTCTGAACAGGGGGATCGGCAGAGTAATCCAATCGCGGAAAGATGGTTTCTGCACAATATCTCGGAACAGAGAACCCACCGCCATTGTTTGCATCGGATTGTGTCAACGTCTTTGCAAAAGAGGCAGGTTTATCCGGCGTTTCAGTCCCATTAAGCCCTCCAATTCCATCATCCTCGTAACCTGCCTCGGCCCCATTCAAAGGAACCAACCTAATTTTTGCATAAACCTCATCAGTCCCAGGATCAGCCATGAACTTAATGGCGGCGACCCGGCAAAGTATATGAGCAGGAACTCTTGGGCAGTTCCTGAAATCAACAGGTCCACAGGCATGCTCAGCATGGCCCTGAGGGAAGTAGAAGACCTTGGCATTCACCGGAGGCATTTGAACCATGCCGCCAGCGCAGGCATGCCATAGCTGAGGATCTAAGCACCTATCCCCCTCCTTGAGTTTCTCTTTTGAATCCATAAACGTAATCATATCAGTTTCTTCAACTAAAATAAGCAAAATTTGCAAAATAAAACCCTTCTCTTCCTGCTCTCAGTAAATGCTGCAAACCACATTAACCACCCAAATTAGGCATACAACTCACAGAATTCAATCAAACCGTACAAACAACAACAAAACAGAAACAATCAATCTCATAAATGAAGTGCATTTCATAAATTTCTTACCTTATAAAGAAGGCATGAATTCGAAACCGAAAAGCCGAAAAAGAAAGCTTCTTTCTTGCCACGTTTGCTCTAGAAAATCTTCACAAAATCAAATTTTCCCAACAACAAAACCTGGACTTCAAAGTTCAAATCCATTTCTTTTATTTTTCTTAATTCAGTAAATTCAAAGGGGGTTCAATTGCCCTGGCACGCCATTAAACCCACCTACAAAACCCAAATCCCCAGCAGCTCCGATTCAACACTGAATTCCCAATCTCAAAACCCTAATCTCTCTCCTCACTGAACCAGTCCAAACCCACCAATTTTTTTTCAAACAAAAAAAAAACACTCAAGACTCAAAAACTGAAGAAACACTCTGCTCTTCTGGAAATTCGAATCCGCCGAGCCCTCAGAAGCTCAGCCGTCGGAGAAAAATTCAGGATCTGCGGCGAGGGTCGAGCCTCTACTTTCCAAGTCCGGCGAAAACCGAGAGCTCGGAGCCACTTCTGAGCCGCCGGGAAGTTCACAGCAGAAAAAATCTCCGACGGAAAAGAGGAAGGAGAATCGTCGGCGCCGAAAATCTCTCAGAATCTTCGTCGTCTTGTTGGTTTGAAAGATTTCAATCACCAACTACTGTTTGGCCAACACAGAAGAAGATAAAAAGCCATAGACAGAGAGAGAGACAGAAGAGGAGAGAGAGAGGAGAGAGAGCAGAGAAACGTTTAGGAAGCAATAGTCCAAAAGCTTCACTCAGCAAATAAAAACACCAAAACATAAAATACATAAATGAAAATATATAAACAAAAAAGTTTCAACTTTCAATTGTTACTGCAAATATCAAGCAGTGGTAGTCAGTGTCACTGTTCTTGTTGAAAGCATTTACCACCATTGGTAAATTCCATGACAATATGTTTTCCCTTTCAAATTTACCTAGCCTATTCCGACAGTTTGGCTCTCATGCTGACGTGGTGTGTCAAATAGAGGTGGATTGTCTGCCCTTACATTTTCATACTTTTCTCATCCCCTCTTATTTTGTATGGTCACGATTAATTCATGTCAACATTTTATATTCTTATTATTTTTTGTTTTACTCAATAATATATACACGTACTTATGGTCACAGAGGGTGGACAATCTACCTCCGTGTCGAATTTATGCAGTAATATATACACGTACTTATGGTTTGGAATTCGCCGTTTAGAATTTGATCGTTAGATATCAACGCAAACAAAACTCTATACATTACGCATTCTATCATTGTATCAACATGCTCGGTTTAGACATTAGGATCAACAAGAGTTTATACATGATGTGTTTTATGCGTTGTATCAGCATCACATTGTATAGCTCGCATATAATGTTCAACTAAAACATGACATATGTTGACGTGGTATATCAAACTTATTTGGTGACTTTTACTCATATATCGTATATTTGTCATCAATCTTGCACTTGAAATTTGACACTAGAACATCAACTAAATGTTACATGTTTCATCTATTGCATAATTTTGATACGTTATATCGATAGCATATTATATTTACATACAAATTCGATATGAAAACATAAACTCGATATGAAATCCATAATAATATGCGTGTGTATGTGCCGTGCTTTAGGTGTCGTATTAGCACACCACGTCACATTATATTACAATAACCTTCTTATACGTGAAGTCAATTTATTTTTGTATCTTATGTTGTGAAATTGATTAAACTGTTTTCGGTCTAAACACGTAATTGAGATTGACATGTTTTTTTTACAACTCAAAATTTCTTAGATGGTTGGACATAGACCACCACAAAAAGAAAAATGCTTACTTTCACTTTTTTTAGTACATTGATATATTTTTACACTAAGGGGACGGAGAGTTCAACTAAGTCATACAATGGACAACTTAATTTAGTATCGAATCCGTTATCTATTAAATTCAAACATAAAACTTATTACTTTTAAGTAAATGAGGAACACCAATGAATCGTAATATTAAGTGACAGTTTTACTCAAGCATGGGACGATATATTTTTCAATTAGAAAGTTTAACATTTAGACAATATCAAATTTTTAATTAGGATTTTTTGTGTCTGAGCTTTTTCTTCGGATCTGAAGAAACAGTGTATCTTGAGAAGCCAGGAAAACAACAAAGATCTTTAAGGAAGCCACACCTTCTGCAATTTCCTCTTTTTCTATTCGTACCAATAATTTATTATTTTTTTAATTCTGCTCTCATCAATCAAACAGGCTTTCGTTTTTTTTTATTATAATTTTTTGGATTAGAAAGGCATGGATTTCCGTGTCCCGCGAGAAATTCGAATCCAAAGTCTCGCGAGCGTGGGTTAAGTGTTCGCTTTTCAGGTGTGCTCTCAAATCAAGGCAAAGCAGTCGTTAACACCTAGCCAAAACTCCTAACCATGGTTAAATGTTGCAATATCAAAATTCCTTTAGTCAAATGATAATAGCTACTTATTTATTTGTTAATTAATAACAATGACCTTGCTTAATCCCAAAAATAAAAAAAATAAAAAAATAGACTTTTTATGATTAGGGTAATGAAAAACAGATCATATTTTGTAAATTACATTATGTGATGGTTTATGATTAGATTTTTTATTTTTACTTAGTTGATTAGATCATCTCTAAATGAGATGTCATGTACACCAAATATGACTAAAAGATATCAAGGTATTTTCCAATAGAAATGTCATTATGACGTGACAGCCTAGTCATTTGACTCTTTATCTGTCCTTTTTTTTATAACAAACAAAGACGGAGTGAAATATATTTAATTTAATTTATAGGATGAAAACTAAAATAAATTTTAATTATTTTTAATAGTTAATGTAACAATTGGCCGTAATATATTAATAAAATAAATATTTAACAAATCAATTAGAAATGAAGACGATTTAACATTTATGTCGCATCCCGGCCCGGGGCGGATCATTTCCCGGGCCCGCTCCACCACCGTAGCACGATATTGTCCGCTTTGGGCTTACCATTCCCTCACGGTTTTGTTTTTTGGAACTCACGAGCAACTTCTCAGTAGGTCATCCATCCTGGGATTGCTCTGGTATCCTTCTCGCTTAACTTCGGAGTTCCTACGGAACCCGAAACCAGTGAGCTCCCAAAAGGCCTCGTGCTAGATAGGGATGGGAAAACACATTTAAGGATCACTCTCCTGGGCGATGTGGGATGCCACAATTTATATTCAATTGAATACATCAGCCACCAAAAAAACTTTTGACTTATTATAAATAGTTAGATGAGGTCATAAATTTGACTCACACAAATTCGAAGTCCCTAGTCCCCGATATATATTTGTCATTAGCAAGGATGAAACCAAAAATGTTAAAATGAGTGGGGGACATTTTGCTATATAACAACAAAACTAAGGCTCCCAAAGAATACATTTAATTGAAATTTGTTCAACTTCAAAGATGCTATTAACATGAGTTGAATTAGGAAAAATGACTTTTCTCTTATAGGTAATAGCCTAGTTAGTAGGTTCGTATATAATATGTGTACATGTACATATGTATTTTTTAAAAACACTTTCGTTAGTTGTACACGTTTCAATGATTTGTTAAATTAATCATTTTCAAAATCAGGAGTGTATTATACATGTACGTATGTACTTCACATTATACACGTTTCCCTCATTTATTTTGACACAACTTTCAGTATACATATGAAATTCATGTATTCTACATGTAATTTAACCTATTATTAAAAATATATAAATATTAAAATTTTGATTATGGCCAAATTTTCATAGTATTTATTTAGTAAAGTTATCGAATAATACATGTACGTATTTTCATGCATAATATCAGTTTCGTTTCTTACTAACTGTGAGTGCTACTAAAATAGAAGATTCTACATATTTAAAATTAGTTGGACTGAGATAAATATCAAAAACCTATAATTATATTATATTAATGGAAGGGGGAGGGTTCGAAACTATTACAATAGTTTAGGAAATGGGAGAACTTCGAACTCGGAAGACATAGGTAGAAATCAAACATCCTATTCACTAGGTTATTGAATCATATTTATATCTCTGGATTTTCTTTTGATTTGTTCAATCCAGACACTAGTCACAAACAAAAATATGCATCAGGAGAACAAAGATGCGAGAAAATCACTTTCTTATATCAAAATGATAAAAACCCAACAAGTATATACATCCTTTAATGAACAAAAATTGCCCAAGATTAGGTTGGATTATAGCCCAGGGCACGAAGTTGTAGCTCCATCTTTCGTTGCGGGTGAGTTAACGGTCTGTTGTAAAGTGTGTTTGTAAAAAATCATATCATTTGTATGAAGCTATGGTTTAGCTATACTATATATGACATGATATGGTTTATATGAAACTATGAGCCATCAATTACTAGTTAGGAAGAACTAGTCTTGTTACCTTTGAGTGATCATATGTCGAGTGGGAGAAGTCCCTTCGATTTATCACCTCCAAGCCGACCAGATCATGACAAGACGTATAATCCCATTACATAATGTTTGCATTTCTTTTTACTTAACTTTCGTTTTGGTAGTCATTGTGTTGTAAACTAGGGCCATGATCACAAAGTTGTGATGGACCAATGGACCAATGTTACAAACCCCAAAAGATGGAGACGTCCTAACCAAAGACATGAGCTCCTCTATTGGGGACCTACCAACTCATAGCCGATTAGATAATTGCAAAAAGAAAGTGGTTGGGGCACCTAAATTACAAAACCAGACCCTCACAGCTCCACTTCCCCCCACATTTTTAATATTTTGCATCAATAAAGTTGTAACCCTACCTAGCTAGCTAACACCATGTATTATATTTCACATGTCCATTTTAGGTGGGTTTTTTTTGGAAAGTGATCATCTCCAGATCCCTTTCTCATAATCCACTAAGTTTGGAGATCCGGACTGTTGAAATTTGACCTAACGGCTACAAACAGGAGCCTACATTAAACGTTATAATAACTTTAGCCGTTGGATCAAATTTTAACAATCCGGATCCCCAAACTTGGTGGATTAGAATGAAGAGATCCAGAGAGGATCCCTTACCGGTTTTTTTGTCCCTCAATTGCTTGACGGTAATACTGCATTTACTATTTAAATATACCATATTTACTGTACCAATTTATGTTGCATCTTAGTTGTACAGTCTAGGCGTAATTTCGGTTGAGTGCTGATATC